CCATCGGTGCGGGTGTTCAAGGATAGGCTGGACATGCACATGGTGGGCATGTTGTGAGCAGAGCTGGCTGGAGCCGGGGGTCAGACTAGATGGCCCAGGAGACCCCTTCTGACTCGCTCTGTTTCTGCGTTTCTATTTGCTGCTAGCAAGAGGACTGGGGGGCAGCACAGTCGAAATGGGCCTGGGGGCTGGCCCAGACAGCCACTCCTGCCCACATCTGGGTGAGCTGTGAGGACGGGTGACCCTGCCGAGCTCAGTTTCTCTGCCATTCCCGGTCGCCCCTGTGCCTTTGTGCTCACATTTCCGACACCCATGCGCACACCCAACATGGGTGTGTGTGTTGCACATGCCATTTTCCTGTGTGCCTCCTGCTGACTAAACAGCTCTGCATGCATTCTTACTCGGCCAAGGAGCGATCCGGTGGCCGCTAGAGAGAGCCTGCACAGCCGTCGGACCTCTCGGAGGCCAACCTCTGTCCTTGGAAACTTGGCTGACTCTGAGCTGGGTGCCCCCCACCAGCGTGCAGCCTGAGGTCCCAAGAACCCCCTCGAGGGCTCCCCGGCCGCCTCTCCTCACACGCAGAGGCCAAACCCTTCCCAGCAAAGGCCCATTTGCATGCAGGGACTGGAAAGGAGGCCGCATTGCCCTGCTGGGTGCCAGCTGGGAAGGAGTTCCATGGACAAGTTAGAGGATGCGACTTCCTGCGTGCAATTTTAAAAGTACGCATGCTTTTGAACACATTTCTGTTTTGCCGGAAGAACTGCAAATATAGAAACTGGCAACTTTGTGTCTGGTTGTGTGGCTGGATATGCAGCTTTGTAATTCAGGTTTGTCTGTTGAAAAAAATAAGTTCAGGGTCTACCGATTTGCAGGAGGTGGCTAAATTATTGCAAGGGGGTCCTTCCGACCCGGCTGGCGCCTGCCTGTCGCCCGGCCCCCTTCGGAGAAGTCACGGGGGCCCAGGCTGTGCAGCCGCTGGGCACTGGCCCATCTTGGAGAGGACATGGCTGCAGGGCGCCATCCTCCGTAGGGAGCGAGGTGCAAGAGCCGCGCGGTGCCCTGTTTCATCCGAGGCGCATCGGAGGGCGAGGCAACGCGAGGCCTTGCTCCTCAAGAGCAGCTGGGCATCTCCCGCGACGCTGGGGTTGCAGCACCTCTGGGCTACTGGCCAGCCTCCCGTGGCCTCCAGCAGGCCCCCCCGTGCCCGTGACCGGTCTTCTGAAGCCTGTGAAGGAGGGTCTCCAGCGTCTGTCTGCGGCCACAAGGCCGGTCCTGGGTGCAACCTGCAGCCTCGCCAGCCAGGCCTTCGGGGCTCGCCGGGTGCCGGGTGCCTGCTCCGTGAGTCACCCAGCTTTACTGCGCTTCGAGACGTTGCAGGACACATTTTGCTCCAGTTCCAAAAACATCTTTCCTTGCCCGAGCAGAGCTGCAATAAAAAGGGCGAAGATGAAAGGCTGGCTGATTCCGAGCGCCGCTCCCGCTGGGGCCGGCAGGTGACTGGAGCATTATTGATCTTGGCTGCCCCTCGCAGACTTGCCTCGCTCGGCCTTGGCCCGCTGAGCTAATCTCCGTCTCCCGTGCAGGTCCCATCCTGTCCTGCCGCCCAGACGAGGCGAGGAGCAGGGCGGCTCCCCGGCGGTCGCCCAAGAAACACCACAGTCCAGAGCGGAAGCTCCCAGCATTCCTTGCACACCCCTGTCCAGTCAGAGCCACAGAGGCAGCAGTGAAGGTGACTCCTGACCTATCCCAAGCACAAGCACACAGAGCCATGTGAAACAGGTGGCCCCTTCCCGGCAGGACCACGTGACTGGGCACATGGCGGCCAACCTGTGGAACTCCCTGCTGCAAGACATGTCGAGGGACACAAGTCTGGAGCAGCGGCAGGAGGGTTTCTCGCACCTGCATTTGCATTAGTCGATGTCTCCCTCACAAAAAGGCTCCCAACGAGGCGACTTGCAACAACATTGTGAAAGGCAAGCAATGCATTCGACAGCTACGAGCAAACTGTTGAGAGCAGGCGTGCTGGCGGGCTTGGGCGAGCGCCCCCCCCCCCCCCCCTGATGCTGGTTGGATCCCTTTGACTGAGTCAGATCCAGAAAATGACGTCCTGGGATGCAGCGGGTGATTCGCTCATGGGGAGGCGTGCAGGTGGACCCGGCCGGCCCTGGAGAGGCAGCTGGCGGAGGGGCCGCCGAGGCCGGGAATCCTCAGAGGGCAACCAGCCCCCCCCCCCCCACTCAGAGCCGGCTGCTGCGGCCAGGAGTCCGCAGGGGAAAGGCTCTGCTTGGGTGAGACGCGTGCGGAAACGAGGCAGGCTTGCTTCCACAGGGCCCCTCCCAGAGGGTTGGGACGCACCAGAACTTGTGAGGAGAGTTTCGGGACGTGATTGCTGGCACAGCAAACCCAGCACCATGGAGTAAGAGCCCTCACAGGGTGAACGGAGGCTGAGCCGTCCCACTGCATGCCATCAGCTCCCTGGGAGTGGAGCAGCAGAGGGCCTCGGCCAGGTACCAAAAAGGTGACAATGTTGGAAACATAGAAACCGAGCGAGTCAGAAGGGGTCTCCCGGGCCATCTAGTCTGACCTCCGGCACCAGCCGGCTCCGCTCACGACATGCCCGCCACGTTGGCAGCAGGTAGGCCTCCTGGAGAGAGGGCTCCAGGTTGAGGAGCTGCCAGCAAGCAGCCTCTCTTCCTTGTAAAGACAGCTTGCGAGAGGGAGAAATCCACGTAGGAGGGGAAAGAGGAAAGTCTATTAACGTGCTCCGAGTTAAGAGACCTGTGGCGCGCTCAGGGTGGGACCGAGTCCAGAAGCGGCAGCCTGCCCTGAGTGAGGCTGGTGGACGGACAGCAGCGACAAGTTGCTCCAAGTCTGACTGGGTTTCCGAGTTGGAGTCAAGGAACTGCCCTAGATCTGTGACGGCTGACGCGACTCAGAGCAGCGACGCAAGATGGAGTGCCTCGTGCAACACGAACCTCTGCAAACCGTATGCTCGGTTTCTCAGGCAGCTCAGGCAGCAACGAGGAGGAGGGCCTTCTCCAGGGTGACTCCCAGTTGTGCCTCGGAGGGGAGACCAGCCTGGCTTCCTGGCCTTTCGCAGGGGATGAGAAGCTTTCTTGATCCGGCCTGGGGATTTCCAGTGGTTGACGGTTAGAAAGGCTGAGAAATGCAGCTTTGGTAGTGTGATTCTGTCTCAGAAACTGATGCCACAGAATAGTAGCACAAACTGGTTCTGTCTTCTGAACTGATTCTGCATCACGATGAGAGCATCCTAGAACAGTAGCGCTGGAAGGGGCCAGCGGGTCACCAGCTCCAGCCCCTGCAGTTGCAGGACGCCAAGTCGCACCACGCCGGATTCGATGCCTCCAGCAAGGGAGAGCCCACCGCTTCCCCCGGCAACCGGTTCCGTTGTCATACTGCTCTGAAAGTCAGGAAATTCTTCCTGGTGTTTAGTCTAAATCTGGCTTTTAACTTCAGTCCTCCATTCCGTGTCCTGCACTCGGGAATGAAGGAGAAGGGATCCTGCCCTTCCTCTTTGCGACGGCCTTTCCGGTACTTGTAGAGGGCGATCATATCACTGTTCAACTTCTCTCCTTGAGGCAGAGAAGTACATGCCCAGTCCTCTCAGTCTTTCCTCCGAGGGCTTTGTATTATGTACAGTAGCGATTATTTAACATTTTTCATCCCTGTAAACTGCCCAGAGAGCTTTCCTGTGACC